CACACACACACACACACACACACACACACACACACACACACAGGCGCCCTCTCTCTCTCTTATTTTATCTGCTGCAGTTGTTTCCAGTTGTTTTGGATCCATGAGTCATTATTGATGCATTTAGTACATTTGTTCTGTTTTTCTTTAAACGGAGTGAAGCAGATTATAAAGTCTGTAAATAATGTCAGGAACACACTCATGTGGTGGACACACAGTTTCAACCCAACAGCTGCTGGTTTCTTAACAGAATCAGCCTGTTTATAAGAACAGTTTAAGTGGACCGGACCGGACCGGACCAGACCAAACCGGTCCAGAAGATAAAACTGTTGGCTATGACACACTGCAGGGCTTGGACTGCAAAGATTTGAGTAAGATGTGACATGGTCTTTAAATCAGACCTGAAGGAACCAAACAGTCTACAGAGGTCTTTACAGTGGACTAGGACAGGAGACTAGGAGAGGAGACTAGGAGAGGAGACTATAAGAGGAGATTAGGAGAGGAGACTAGGAGAGGAGATTAGGAGAGGAGACTACGAGAAGAGACTAGGAAAGGAGACTAGGACAGGAGACTAGGAGAGGAGACTAGGACAGGAGACTAGGACAGCAGACTATAAGAGGAGACTAGGACAGGAGACTATAAGAGGAGACTAGGACAGGAGACTAGGACAGGAGACTAGGACAGGAGACTAGGACAGGAGACTAGGACAGGAGACTAGGACAGGAGACAAGAAGGAAGAACATGAACGTGAAACTAAGAGAAAGGAGAGGTCAAAGGACAGAAGAAGATGACTGATACCTCAGTGTCTGGTTCTTCTTCTCCTGTCTTCTCGTCCCTCTTGTCCAACGCTCGTCCTCTTTTAGTCCCAGATTCAGTTTCAGGGACTCAGAACTGGATTGGGTCTTGTTTTCTCCTTCAGAACCAGGATATGGGTCTAGAATCACACATTCAGAGGGTTTTCTTTGCTCCTTCAGATATGGATTAGTCTGAACTGGACCCAGACTCTCTGAGGAGGCTTGGTTCTCCTTCTGCGACACACCTCCTCGGCTCACGTTTACGTTTTCAGTCTCAGCTTCAGGACTTCTGGTTCTGGCAGAGCCAGAGTCTAAACCCTTCAGTACCTTGTCCTCACGGGATGATGGGTTTGACTCTGAGTCTGCAGGTTCAGATCTGAGGCTGGTCCTGGTTGGTCCTGTTGTGGTGGTGGAGGATGAAGGAGGTGCAGTCAGGCCAGGTGAAGGAGTCACCTGATGGTGCCCTCCAACAGGAAATACCATAATAATAACAAAACTACAGTTACTACGGAAAAACTGTCTACACACACAGCTGTAGGCCAGTGGACAGGGAGGAAAACATCTGGCTGAAGGAGGAGAACGTCTGGCTGCAGGAGGAAAACATCTGGCTGAAGGAGGAGAACATCTGGCTGCAGGAGGATAAGACCGTCTGGTTGCAGGAGAAGAAGGTTTGGCTGCAGGAGGAGAGGTAATACAAAGATGTCGATCAAAGATGGCTGCTGCAGCTGATATGATTAGAGTGAAACATCTTACTCACATTGGGAACTTCTCCTGGTTTTAGGAGACAGAACCCTTTGGATGCAACGCAGGTCTCCACAGACACCAGGACTGCAGACAGAAACACTTCATAAACTTTTAGTATCAACAAATCTTCTGTTGCTTTGAGTTTTGTTTAAATTAGCTGATTATCAGGTAAGAAAAAAAAAACTAGAAAAATGTGAGTGCTGACAGAGTTTGATGAATTATGAAGAAGGTGCCAAAACTGAGACGTTAAAGCTAAAGGTAGCTGAACACTAGCTTGAAGATAAATGTAACAAACTGGTAACTAAAAGAAGTAAAATGATATCTAAAGGCTAAATTTTCAAAAACACACCTAAAAGTTGTAAAACCTGATGCTTATTTCCTTAATTTTACATGGGCCTCTATGTGTTGGTCTCATAAATGTTCAGTTGTCGTATTTTCCTTGAAACATTGTCTCACATCTAAATATTATTGAGACAAAAAGCCCTCTGTGCCCTGATGTCCATGCACTGTCCCTTATGGGAACCTAAAACCATTAGCATCCACATGAAAAACACCTGCAAGTGTTTTGGTTTCTAAATTGATTTAATGTCGCTGATGACAAGGCACAAAAATGAGAAAACCTTCATTCCAGCTCACCTAATATTCTGTGGTTCCCATCTAACCTTTCAGTTTGGAAAGACCCAAACTGCCATTCATCAAAACTGTGTTTCCATCAGAAGTCTCCATTGGTAGACTTGATTGTCTCCATTGGCAGACTCGATCATGTCCATTGTCTCCAGTGTCTCCATCTGTAGACTCAAATCGTCTCCATTGGTAGACTTGACGGACTGCATTGATAGATCCATCAAGAGATTCAGTCGATCAATAGACTTGATTCTTCCACTGGCGGATTCAACTGCCTCCACTAGTAGACTTGATCCTCATCAGTAGACTCAATCATCTACATTGGTGGACTCAATCATGTCCATCGGTAGACTAGATAGTCTTTATTGGTAGACTTGATCCTATCCATCGGTAGACTCGATCCTCTCCATCAATAGATTTAATTGTCTCAATTGGTAGACTCAATCCTATGTGTCGGTAGATTTAATTATCTCCATCGGTAGACTTGACCATGTCCATCTGTAGATTAAATTATCTCCATTGGTAGACTTGACCATATCCATCTGTAGATTAAATTATCTTCATTGGTAGATTTGATTGTCTACATTGGTAGACTAAATCTTCTCTGTCAGTAGACTTGATGGCCTCCATCAGTAGATCCATCAAGAGACTCAAACATTTTCATCAGTAGATCCGATGGCCACCATTGGTAGACTTGGTCATGATCATCAGGTCCATTGGTAGAATCGATCTTGTCCATCTGTGAACTGGATTGTCTCCACCCGTAGAGTAGATTGCCTCCATCAGTAGATGTGATATTCTCCATTAGTACATTTGATCCTATCTATCAGTAGATTCAATCATCTCTATTGGTAGACTCGATCTTATCCATCAGTAGATTCAATCATCTCCATCAGTAGATTTGATAATCTCCATTAGTACATTTGATCCTATCTATCAGTAGATTCAATCATCTCTATTGGTAGACTCGATCTTATCCATCAGTAGAKTCAATCATCTCCATCAGTAGATTTGATAATCTCCATTGGTAGATCCATTGAAACTCAATAAACTTCACCAGTAGACCCAATTTTCTCATTGTTAGACTTGATCCTATCCATCAATAGAATTGATCATGGCCATCAGTAGACTCGATCGTCTCCATTGGTAGACTTGATCCTCTCCATCGGTAGACTCAGTAGTTTCCATCAGACTAGATTGTCTCCATCATCAGTCTCAATTGCTTCCATCAGTAGATTTAATGAACCTGAGTCACACCTGAAAAATATGAGGTGYGCTTTTTAAACAAGACCAGTGTCCTGTTGATTTACATGGAGTGGGCGGGATCTGTAACTGGTCCTAGGACCATCATGTGAGTACACTGGAGCAGCCCTGACTTCAGCCGAGTCCAGTTTTTTTACACGTCTCTAGACTGGACTGGAATCAGATGCTTGTCACACAGAATGATGGCAGGCTTGAGGTGTGTTTTGGTTAGACAAAAATAGGTGGTTCTGGTGTCAGTTCTGGTGTCGGTTCTGGTTCCAGAAGCAAGGAAAGGGCCTCTTAACAGAGGATTTATTCATTACTTACAGTGTTCTGGTCATATTGTAGCAGCAGGAGGCCCCACGGACCGGATCTAAACAGCTTAAAAAACACATCACACACAGACTGGGACCTGGGTCAGGATTCTGATCTAGACTTGGGACAAGACTCAGGTCTAGACCTCACAGCTAAATGTGAAATATTTCATGTCCCACCCTGTCCAATTAATGTTCAGTCTCTGAATGTTGTTGATTTTAAATAAATAGTTTTAAAAGTCAAACATCAAACAGATGGAAATTCTTCAATGAAAATAAAAAGTTATCAAATCTGTCAGTTTATCAGGTTTAAACTTTAAAGTTTCTGCTTTAGGTTAAATTTTTTTTTTTTACCCTCTCAGAGCTGATCTCCTCTGGATCCCGGACTTCAACAGGTCCCTTATTCCTGGGGGGGCTGCAGGTTTCCTGGGTCTACACTGAACCCCCTCCCTCCACCCGCCGGGCTGTGGGTCTCCCTCCTCCCGCTGAGATGGCWGCAGAGCTCCGCTAAAGAACCACAACGTCCAGGAGACGCACAGGAGACAGATCCGCATGGCGACAGGGTCGAGAAGACCAGCAGACCAGTCCCAGACCCACTGGTCCCAGATCAGGTTTTATACTGTGAGACGTTCAGGGTCACTGCTGCGGTGGGACCTCTGGAACCTGGCCAGACAAAGGGACCACTAACAGTCTGCAGACCTTATCCTGGGGGTCCGAACCAGGACCATTAACCTGTTTTTGGTCCTTGTGAAGACAGAAGAAGACTTAAAGATAAAAAACAACAAATAGTTTTATAATTTTTTTAAAATATTATTGTCATTGTTTTAATGTTTTTTTTAAATATTTTTGTAGAATTCTTGAGACAAGACCCCCAGAAAACACACACACACACACACACACACACACACACACACAC